TTAAACATCCAACCATAAGTGCGCCTGACCTTGAACAAAGAGTGTGTGTGTGTGTGGGTGGATAGATAGATGGATGGACAGACCAGGGGCGTACGAAGACTGCAAGACGTGGTCCCCGCCCACCTGGATCTCGTCCGGCCGCAAGCTTCTCCAGCTCAGCCATTTGCTCCATCTGCTGCCTCCGCTCTTCGGAGGTGTGACGGTTTTACTTGGCACCAAGAAATCTCAACAAATCTTCGATGCACCTCAGCCTTCTCATCTCGCGCAAGAGCTCCTAGAAAGGAAACTATGACGTTGACAAAACTGACTTGTTGCTTTCTCCACTCAGTGCCTGGGACTGCCTTCCAGTGCTGGGAGGCGCAGCTTGCCGCTCGAACCTTCAGAAGACAAATGACAACTGCGAAGAACCCCAGAGTCTCCCGCAGCTTTGGCCCAGGCTCTGCATCGCGTGGACTCGAAGGGTAGGTGTCCTCCTCAAGCCGGCTTCCAGTATCCGGGAATGCACTTAAGTGAGAAATGGTCTGGCCTCGAAGTACCGCGATGGACTGCAAGCTTCTTGCCCCGGTGAATTGCTCTGCCTGGGCCAGGGGCTGTGAAGACGCGAAGTGCAAAGCCAGGAACTCCGAGCCGAGGACCTGAAGGATTCCTGGAGGCGTTATCTGTGTCAGGATAATGTGGTTTAAAGGCGTGACCTATGCCCACCTGAAGCGACATCGCCCCGCTTTGCCTGGAAACATGAGACGCCTGCTTGCACTTCTCTTCTTCAGATCGCATCTCCAGCCCGGGCTGCTGACGAAGTCGGTGGACCTGCATCAAAGCACTGCGTGGCTGACAGACATTGGCGTAGATATTTAGATGTTTTTAGGGCATCGTTCTGTCAAGTGCAACTACTGCGGCAGATATTGCTTTGGCGCACCTCGGATGCCCTCGTTCAAGAATGCATCCTGATGCAGCTGTTGCACTTGCTGCTATCACGCAACATATTCTGGGATGGGAGAAAGCTTGCACACTTTTCGACTGCGCATTTCGCTTCTCGGCATATCGGTCCTTCAGAAATCGGTCTTATAGATACTCAAAAATGATAGGGTGCGACCGCCTAGCAAGATAAATTTACTAGACCTACCCACCAAACACCCAATGGCGTTTGACTCCGAAGGCGGTCGCACTAGCGCACCCGGCTAGAGCCGCGCGAACGTGGGCGGCATCTAGCTGCGGATGCGTCCAGCCTGGATGATCCAGGAAAGGCTCACCATGTCTTCGACCTGCGCCTGCATCGAGACAGGATTTTGATTGCCTTTAGGTTGTCTTGGTTCCGCGGCTTTTGTAAATCATCTGCTGGCCGCCCAACCCAGCGCATGACTGCGAGGCCACGACAGAAGGAGTCGTCTGCCATCCCATGTCTTATGGGAGTCTCGCCATATATTCGCTGGCCGCCCAAGAAACCCAGCACATGACTGCGAGGCCACGACAGAAGGAGTCGTTTGCCATCCTATGTCTTATGGCTTATGGGAGTCTCGCCGCACCCATGGGGCCCAAGTGACGAGTAAAGCATGTTGCCTGTAGCATAGCAAGTAGGGCAAAAGAGCATCACCCAGAGGACCTGCGGCGTGAAGAAATGCACCAGAACTGAATTTCTAAATCTACCGAAGTGCCAGGTGCTTCAGTACCTATGAAAATGTTGCTCAAGCTTTGTAACTGGCAAAAAACGATCACCTACAGGAACTGATTGTCGGCAAGCTCTTCCAATAGATGCAGGCTGAAGAACCTGGCACTCACAGCTCTGACTCGGTGAAGGGCTTTCAAAAAGCAGAAGGCATCTCCCTGAGGAGTCCTGCCTTCATAAAGGAATGGCTGAATTGGAAAGGCGTACTTTGATTGCGCACACTGCAGACTCTGAGTCCATGGGGGGGGGGGACTTAGCTTTTCAGTAACAAGGACTTGCAATTCACCACAGCAACCACAGACCCTTTCAGGCCTGCAAGTGCCTCTCGAGGGCCAAGAGCAAACCGCAAGCCCTGCATGCGAACGTCCTGTGAGACACCTGCGAAAAAAATTCTCAAGGGACGAGCCGTCCATTTGCATACTCTGAGACCTGCAGATCTCGTTCTTCGGGGATTCAGCCGGTCGACTAACCAACTAGTTAGAAGCAAAAAAAAGTAAGTGCCAGAAAACTGTGCATCCCGGCTGCATCTTTGAAGAAACAGCTTCCACTGGTGTGGCTTGTCTCGAATTCGAACCACGCAATTCACAAGAGGGTCCTGATAGCGGAATCTTGTCGCGAGGCCCTGTACAGTATGGCACTAGAATGGTAATCGTGGTACATCACATCCTCACAAATGCAGCCGTGAACTGGAGGAAGCATCGCCGACCTTTAGCTGACAGTAATCACAAATCTGAAAGCCTCCTGTGCAAGATGGCATGCGGGAAACGCCAGGTACTCCGTTTCATCAGTTTCGGGTTTCCCCTCCCAGCCTGACTCTGGCGATTCATGGCTCGCAGAACGGCGTCGGTGTACTTTTTGGACATTCGACCTCCGGGCCGGGCCGGAAAAACAGAACCGTTGTGCTGTTAAACTTCGCGAGACCCATGATGCCCGAGGCTGAGAATCAGGCTGCTGCTGGAAAGCTGTGTTCGATGTCTCAGATCCTTTGGGTGTTGCGTTGATTACATGTTTGGCTTTTTGTGCAACTTCGCAGTTCCTCCACGTCCTCGGAAGCTGCGGCCTTGACAAGTTGCTTGCCGGCAGCAGGAGCATCCCAAAGCGAGCACAAGCAAAACCCAAGGCCTGCGCTGATTCGTTCCTGAAGACCTCAAGGATCTTTTCCGATAGCATTTTCTTCCATGCTCTCCTTCTGTGTGCATTTTCTCGGTCTCTTTTGCGCCTGCTATATATGTATGTATTTGTCCTGCCCCACTGCAAGAACCAAGACTGGAACATGCACAAAACAATGATCCTTTTCCCCTACCGTACCGCACGTGGCTCTGCACCAGGCCGTGCTGAGTGCAGCGCCTCTTGTGCAATTTGCTTGCACTCCTCACGCACCTAACTTTGGCAAGAGTCGGGAAGCCTTTGCCTATGGGCCTCGGCCTATCGGCCTGGGAGGATCACAACTTGGCATCATGAACTAAGATCAGCGCCATCTTGGGCGGGCGCTCCTTCTTCCGCTTAGCCTCGGCAATGCTAGCCGACCGAGTGGTATTCCTGAAGCTGTCTGAGAACCTGACGTGGTCCATGTGACAGTACTTGCAAGACCTGCAGCAGGAGTCCGAATTTTTGGCAGCGCCGCATACTCGCAGTGTGTTTCAATAGGGGGTGCTAGCTGTGGGCTCGAGACTTTCCAGTAGTGCGGCTGTTTACGACCGACCCTCGAGGGCTTTGTCTTTCGCCATGATTGGGGATCCCCCGCTAAATTCTTTGATCACCGGGCAGCTCTTTGATGCTGTTGCTCGCGTTCAGGGCATGGATGCTCAGGCGGCCACTTTGCATTTGCTCTGGAATGGCGAGGCTGCTCGCTGCAGCGGTTCATTTACAGTGGGTGCGACTCTAACCTTTTATGGTGTGCAATACAAGGGAATGATTGGTGGCGTTCATTTTCTTCAGCTCTTGACTGGAACAGTTGTGATCGAAAGGCCCTCGCTTCAGGAAACATCCTTCCGGCTTCTCAAGGAGGTTTGCGCTGGGATTGGAAGGATTTCAGTCGGTTGTGAACAGCTTGGGGGCCAATGCTTGGCCACGGCAGACAAGTGCCCATTGGCCTGTGGGGCTCTGCGACTCCAGGCGGCACCAGTCGTCGAAGGTGACATCGCTGACCCTTCTGTTCGGCGCCAGATACATCTGGCTCAATCTAAGGTCCGATGCCTCATTGCCGTCGGCATACCGTGCCAGGGATACTCCCGCCAAGGTTTGCGTTTAGGGTTTAAGGATCCCCGTAGTCACACCCTGTGCCATGTGCTGCAGCTGGCTTGGCATTCCCAAGCCTGCGGTATCGTTCTTGAGTGTGTTGCCGAAATCCAACAGCACCCTGATGCTTTGGCCTGCCTTCGCTCTTTTGCTGAGCGGGCTGGCTTCCGTCTGACTGAGGTGGTGCTTGAACTCTCGCACCAGTGGGCCTCCAAGCGCCTGCGATGGTGGGCGGTCCTACTGCCGCTGCACATGCCGGGCTTTTCGTTGCCAGTCTGGCCTCAGAGTGAGCAGGAATGGACAGTTGGACGGGTCATTCCGGAGTGGCCACTGTGGTCCGTCGATGTTGAGCATGATTTGCTTTGGGACCCAATCGAGCTCGCAGCCTACAGCAACCCGGCATACGGTTCGGATGCAAGAACTCTTGCCGATAACATGCAAGCACCCACTGCCTTGCATAGTTGGGGTAACGCACTGCGAGCCTGCCCCTGTGGCTGCAGGAGCCAGGCCTTCCATGAGGACAGCTTGCGCAGCCGAGGCCTCCGAGGAATCGGGGTTACATCTGGGATTTTGCTGGCCCAGCGCTTCTTGCACCCCAGCGAAGCCGGCTTACTGAACGCCCTTCCTCCAGCTCACCCTTTGCCTCAGGATGCCCGATCAGCTCTCTGCTTGGTCGGCCAGGTGAGTTCGCCCCTGCAAGCCCTTTGGGTTCTAGGCCATGTGCGGCGTTGGGCCGCTGAGGTTTTTGGTAGTCCTACCTTTGACCCCTTGCCTGAGCTCCACCGCTACCAGCGCATGCTTCTGCAACAGAGACAGGACTTGTGGCTCACGCCATCACTGCAAGCTGGCCACACCATTCAAATTGCAGGAGAGATCTTTGATTGCCATCTTCAGGTCTCTGAGCCCATCACGGCAAGCCGCCTGATCCAAGCAGCCAAGCCTTCGCTTGCCCCGGGTTTCTTTATCCGCATCACTGCTGACGACCGTGTGGTTCCAACACACAGGCTTACTTGCAGCCTCTGCCTTGGGGCCCGCTGTACCGAATCACCACGCACGCCAAACGTGCTCGTCTTGCAGAGGAGTCTGCGCATGATGCCCCGCCTCCTGCCTTGGTGTTTGAACCGGAAGCCCTGCTGGCCAGCCTTGGCCTCAGTCTGCCGGGAGCTCCTGCTGGAGCTTCCCCTTCGTTTCCGTCATCTGACGCTTCTGTGCGGACGTGCTGCTCCGTCTTGCGTGCAATGGCCAGGCTTTGCCTCCTTCTTTGAGATCAGACCTGACAATGGCATTCCGGGATTGGGCAACCTCGCGCCCTGACCTCGCGGCCTCGCGGCCTCACGGCCTCACGCCCTCGCGGCCTCGCGCCCTGACCTCGCGGCCTCGCGGCCTCACGGCCTCACGCCCTCGCGGCCTCACGCCCTCGCGGCCTCACGGCCTCACGCCCTCGCGGCCTCGCGCCCTGACCTCGCGGCCTCGCGGCCTCACGGCCTCACACCCTCGCGGCCTCTCACGGCCTCACGCCCGCGCGGCCTCGCGCCCTGACCTCGGGCCTCGCGGCCTGACGGCCTCACGCCCTCGCGGCCTCGCGCCCTGACCTCGCCGCCTCACGGCCTCACGCCCTCGCGCCCTGACCTCGCGGCCTCGCGGCCTCACGCCCTCGCGCCCTGACCTCGCGGCCTCACGGCCTCACGGCCTCGCGCCCTCACCTCGCGGCCTCGCGGCCTCCCGGCCTCACGCCCTCGCGACCTCGCGCCCTGACCTCGCGGCCTCACGGCCTCGTGGCCTCGCGCCCTTACCTCGCGGCCTCGCGGCCTCACGGCCTCGCGACCTCGCGGCCTCACGGCCTCGCGGCCTCGCGCCCTCACAGCCTGTCGTTGTTGCTGTTGTTGCTGCTGTCATTGTTATTGTTAGTGCTATTGTTATTGTAATTGTACTTGTAGTTGCTACTGTTACTGTTACTGTTACTGCTACTGCTACTGGTACTGTTACTGTTAATGTTACTGTTACTGTTACTGTTACTGTTACTGTTATTGCTATTGTTATTGTTCTTGTTATTGTTATTGTTATTGCTGTTGTTATTGTTATTGTTATTGTTATTGTTATTGCTATTGCTATTGCTATTGCTATTGCTATTGTTATTGTTATTGTTATTGTTTGGTAGTCTCCTCTAACACGTTCGGAGGGGGTGTCTTTAAGAGAGTCCTGTCAGGTTAATCCGCTCTTAGTTAACCTTTAACTTCCGGCCTAGTTAACCATTAACTCGTCCCCGGTTAACCCTTAACTTCCGGCCTAGTTAACCATTAACTCGTCCCCGGTTAACCCTTAACTTCCGGCTTAGTTAACCATTAATTCGTCCCCGGTTAACCTTTAACTTCCGGCTTAGTTAACCGTTAATTCGTCCCCGGTTAACTCTTAGTTCCCGGCCTAGTTAACCCTTAATTCGTCCCCGGTTAGCCTTAACTTCCGGCCTACTTAGCCTTTGACCCGTGTCAACCTAATCCATAAGTTTCGGTGTAAGCAACCAGTACCGACGAATTCCTATCCAATCGAAGCTCTCCAGACAGGCATGCCAGGATATCTTTGATGCTGCTCGAGACAGGGGAAAGGACTTCAATCCGTTGGTGTATCTCAATTGAGTCCATCGATTTCAAGTGAGTTCGTCTCTAAATATATTAACATAATATATATCATATATCATCCTTTCTCAGAATTCAGTGAAAACTCTCAATCGATGCATGGTGCATGATGGATCTCCTCTCTCTTCTGGATGCTGATAATGAGACTGAGACAGCTGCTGCGATTGGTGACACGGCTCTGCAACAGGCGTCCAATGAGTTAGTGCAAGCTTGTCCGAAAGCTCGCACACAACCTGATTTTCGACGTCGTGCAGTTTTTCCTTCCTTAAAAGGCCGAGTGGGCAAGGGCAGACATGGCGGGTTTGCTGAACGTGCACTGCTAGCTTGCCACATGCGTGCCTTTGCTATATTTGTACTAGGGTTTTCTGCGAGATAAAGTCCCTTGTACTTGTAATATTATGGGCCAAATTATGGGGATATATCCTTAAGTATTCCTTAAGTCTTAAGCAACATGCAGTGTGCGATATGGTAAGGCTCCACCAAGCTTGCCCGACGAGTGGAAACTTTTTCGGAATCAGTCGCGGAACTGTTGCGGGATAGTCACTTTGTTCATGAATCTCGTGTGCTTCAGCTTCGCATTGATCGCTCCAGCAAGGCCCTAGGTCTTGCACTACATGTGATCAGGCCGAGTCAAAGGGGCAATCGCTACAAACGGAAATTGCCGTGGTCTTCGTTTCTGGAGGCCTCTTACGGCCGGATATGCCGAAACTCTGCATTGGCTCAACATCTAGATGTGGGCAGGTCTACAATCCGACATATGCAGATCATGACGAGTGCTGCGTTCATGAACCAACAGGCCTTGTTCGTGGCAAAGCTCGCATCCTGGTGCCTTGCAAAACCGCCAATGTTGTGTTTAAAGCACTTCAAGTGGGATGAGACACAGCTGTTATGCACATTGAATGCTGACAAATCGCAACAACGAGTGAGAAGCAGCTGGCAGGTCTTAGTGCACCGTGTGCGCTTGGTTCTTGCCTGGGAAGATGGATCTACAATAGTCGTTCGGCTGATCGTACCACCTGTAAGCCTTCTGGCGACGGGTGCAGAGCACCAATACTATGCTTTATTCCATCACCCGGCGTACAAATGCATCAACGGGCTTATGGACCTCTTAAGGCAATCTGCCCAGGAGAACTTGGATCTGGCGGAGACAGATGGAGCAGCCAGCAATATGAGGCTGCTGGCCCACCTCATCCAGAAGGCCAAGAGCACGGTTGTCGGTCGAGGTGGTCGTGAGCTGTTGTTTGCACATTGTAGGTGTATGAATCATGCGGTCCAGCTGAATAATACCTCGCTTTTGGCAGTCGTTAGCCCTTCATTGTTGAACAGAATATACGGGATGACTGTTTATGTTCGCAATTTGGGCTATTGGATGCGCATGAGGCAAGCAGTGCACGATTGGGTTGATCGGACATTACGATTTCGTTCAGAAGTTATGGCATCAGACCCCTCCCAACACGTGCGGCCCCATTCCGCAATCTGCGAGCTCATCGCATACCTTCGAATGTGGAAGAAACTTGAAAGGCACAATTCGAAAATCGAAGATCATCAGGCGGCGTCTGGTGAAGACGATGCCGAGGAATCCGCTTTTGATCGCAAGGCCACGGCTTTCTTGGATATGTGGAATGGGGAGGATGGGTCTGGCGAGCCCTGCCACATCTGCAGCAGCGATTGTCTTCCTCTCGCCCAGCGGCATTGTGCTGACAGGGCCACTGCTGTGAG